TGCACACATTGCTGAACAGCCAATTCATGAGACACAAACTCCACTGGACTACGTAGTCCAGAACCTTCAATGCCGCACTGGTAACCCTAGGAACCGGTGCTATGCTAATGCTCCCGCCTGTGAACAACACAGCCCTCAAAGATGACGGGGTGGTCAACATCACTTCATTGAGAACGCTCAACACTTTGTGGCAGCAATTTGATGACACCGTTCAGGATGATGCTTCCCAGCAAGGAAGCATTTGGCTGACACCAAGCATGCAATCCAGGGCTACTTTCATGTGGATCACCGTCATCAAGTACACAAGGGGAAACCCTTCCCAACTCATCTGCTGTGCCCTGAGAAAACAGAAGACCAGGGTTGGAGCAGATCTTACCAGAATGGGCCAACACTGAATGGGCGAGGCCTCTGGGTAGGCCACATTGGACGCTATGTCTTGCAGGATGGGGAATGGACCAAGCGCCACCACATCCTGAATGTTCCCGCCATCTTCAACCTTCCCTACACAGAGGATGGCAACACCACCAAAACGGAGCAATACTCCCTCACCGGTTTGCTATGCCACTCGGGCAACGCACACCAGCATGGACACTTCTATGCGGTCTACGCATATATCGTGGTGTGTACTGGATTGTGGATGATGGTTCCTATTACCTGAACTACCAGAATACCTCAAACGGCAAATTGTCCAAGTCTTCACAGCACTTGCTGCCTGCCAACGTCCTCTGTGAATTTGCAAGTGGCAAAGCCCCTGAACAACACCCAGAGCCTGAAGCCAAACGAAGAAGTTTAAGAGGGGTGAGTTTTGCATTTGCCAATGTCACTCTGTGCGGCAATGGTTGCTCACGAGACCCCGGGCTCCTCTTCCTGGCGGAGACGCATTTGGCTCAGGAGGATAACTTGAAGGCTCATCAAAGGTTTGCAGCGCGGGGCTTTGGTGTCCTGAGGCAACCGGCAGCAGAAAGTGCCAAAGGCGGCACACACGGCGCCTTCATGCTTTTGTACCCTTCCAACAAGAACATAGTGGATGGCTGTGGCTGGTACGCCACCCAATGGACTTTCCACAACGTCGATGTGATCATTGCTATGGCCTACTTCTGCACAGAAGAGGGCATCCAAGGCCCCACAATGCCTTGCAGTGGTCAGGGCTCCTCTCCTTTGTCACGAGCCCCATCATCATCTCCCCAGAAGAGTTCATGACCACAACCATGAGCACTGTGATGCAGGTGCAGGCGCTGGCCACGGGCATGCCCAGCTCATTTTCCATTGGTTTTCAAGAGCGCATTGCGGTCCAGCAGATCCAGAAGTACAGCCCAGCGCCTAGTCTTGATTTGCCTGCCAAGGAGTGGTAACAGATTGACGAGTGCAATGGTTTGACCTCAAAACTGACTCCACTACTCAGCGGTTGGGGGCGCTGTCCAGAAGCACTGAAATGACAGTTCTCTTCATGGCACTATGACGCTCGGTCATGAGACCTGCAGGCACTCTGTGCCCGGGACTCCTCGCTCCCATGTTGCGTTCGTCTTGGATGTCCTGCTGCCACTGCCTGGTGTGTGAGCTTCTCAATCTGCACCACAGACGGTACAGTGGCCACCAATGCAATCGGTCTCTCAATTTCAGCAGACTTTGGAAGCAGGGCTATCAGTGATGTAGTCCATTGTTGCGGTATCGCAGCCTGGGCCTCAATCTGGTGGAAGATTTGGATCAGGTCCGACATGGCCTGAAAAGGAAGTGCCTTCAGGAAGTCAAAGCCAATGCCATCAAGGCCGGGCGCTTTGAGGCTGAGCTGTTTGATGGTGTACCAAACCTGTTCTGGTTGGAGAGGCCTCATGGTTTGCCCTTGTTCAACTCACTTGCCAATTAGATCCTTCAGGTCCTGCACCTGCAATGGGTCAGCTCGAATGCCCCAAAATGTCACCCCACTGCTGCGTTCTCAATGCCATGCGTTCTTGTCTGGGACGATCTTGGAAGGGTCTCATGTATGGCAAACGGGATGACCTATACAGCTTTCGGTAGCCCTTCTTGAAGCTTTGCTGAGCCACTCTCTGTAGGCCTGGGTGTCATGCTCAAATGCCATTTGCTGGTGGAGATCCCGGATTTGTGAGGTGTGTGAACCCCTCCAAGGCGACCGGACAATCCTCATGCCCGTGCGCCAAATCCATGGCTTGCTGGGCCTGCAGTGGCAGCTTGGTGAGTTGGAGGTGAATGCCACGACCATAGGTGTGGGCGACAAACGGCATCCTGGCTGGAGACCCCCCTCGGCCCATCGCCGCCTATGAGTACATTCGAGAGCTGCTGGAGCAGGACAATCTCAAGATCTCTGAGAAGAAGACTGGTTTCGTTGTCTCGCACACTGCAGAGCGGCGCCTTTTACAAGAGCGCCTTCCGGCCAATGGCCCACAAGCCCATGAGAGACCTCGGAGTGGACTGCACTGCAGGGCGGTTGAGCCGCATCATGACCATGAAGAACCGTCGAGGAAAGGCAGCACGGAAGACCAAAAAGCTGACAAACTTGAAGATTCCTCAGAGAAGCATGCGCCTGAAGCTGTACAAAAAGGAGCGTCCTGGCAGGAGTCCGTTGGGGGCATGAAGCCATGGGCCTAGCCCCACAGGTTCGGCGTCGAATTCGGGCAGTCATGGGCCGCCGGCTTGGTTTGCAGAAAACAGGCAACACTGACATTGTCTACGACATGAACCCAGCACACCAAGACCCTGACAATGGCTCCTTCATGTCCCAAGTCAAGGCCTACAGACGCTTCTTTGGCAACTGGTCGGAGGCAACTCGCCGCAATCTAGAAAGGGCATGGCAGGCGGTCTACGACAGATTGGAGCGAGCTCAGCATCCTCGGCAAGTCGCCAAAGGCCCTGTCACGGCCCTCCAGCGTTATTTGAAGGAGCACAATAGAGAAGAGCTCAAACGAGCTGAACGGTGGGAGCGCATTGAGCGCATCAACAAGCGCACCATGCTCAGTGAGGTCCAGAACACCATGGATTGGAAGCCATGGCAGCAGCTGACACTCACACTCACTAGCCGGGACAGTGCGGCACACCTCCTGGCAATTGGAGGAAATAAAGGTTCCAGCCGTGATCAATCTCAAAGCGGTCATCCAGTTCCATCTCCGGAAACTCCTCGTTGGTGGCCTTGCACATCCAAAGAAGGTGCAGGGGTGTGGCAGGTTGGCGACAGTGAGGGCTTCATTGTCTCCCATCTTGGTGAAAAGGGCGTTCTGGTGCCATGTGAGGAGTGGCTGTCCAGGCATGGGGCAGCTGGACGGTTCATGACGAACTCAAAGTTGGCAACACAGCGGTCTTCACCATTGGCATTGCGGCCACCAGCAAAGACAGCCGCCTTCCTCACTTTGTTGTGGCCTTCAACTGGATGGGTCCAGCGGCATGCGAGCATTTTAAAAGGTTGCGGATAGTTGATATCTCACAAACCGAAATCAGTGAGATTCTGGGAGGTACCTTTGCACATTGCTCACAGCTGCAGCAGCTCCGACTGGCCGAAGCAGTGAGGCGCATTGGGCGAGACGCCCTCCTAAACTGCACCTCCCTGGGTGAACTACACATCCCACCCGCTTTGCTCTTTATCGACAAACGAGCATTTGCTGGCTGTACACAGCTGCGCACGCTCATCAGAGTAGGAAGCAAGACAACTTGGAGAGGTACTTACGCAGTGCACGATGCATTCGAGTCGTGCGTGCAACTGGTGCATCATGCTGGCATGGGGCAGGAGCTCTACCGCATGGGGCAACAATCTCTCAGGAAAACAGTCCCTAAAACGGGCCTGGTTCTATGGGCTGCGGATGGCTGCACATTACATTGAGCACCCAGGTGAAACTGCATGTCATGTCGACCAAGGCATGGGAGGCATGGGTCCAAGCAAAGCGTGGCCACATTTTCCACGACCATAGATCACCGCACACAGATCAAGGCCCTCCAGCCTAACCACACAGCAAGTCCGACAAATGCCCACTGGCGTCATGACCCTCAAGAACCGGTTTCACGACGCGACCTAAGCAGCTACTGAGATTGCACTAGCATCGAGGCCTCATGCAGAGGAAGCCATGTTGAAACAACAGGATGCCAAATACAAGAGAGTTGCACTTCTGGCCATCAAGCGCATCAAGTACATCCTTGACACCAAGGAGCATTTCATGCACCAGCAGAGAGAAAAGGGCAAGGTGCTGCGCAATCAAACTCAGGAGCAAAAGAAAATGCTCTATGCAGCGCGCGGGCAGTCGCAAGGAGAGGCAGGGCGCAGCAATGCACTCACTGCGTCAAGAGGGTCACGCTCCATTCCAAGCTTCCTGAACTTCAGGAGGCCTCCCAAGAACGATGCCCAGGAAACCCCGTCAGCTTGATTGGAGGAAGCCCAATGGCCAACATCGACACCAAGCAAGAGATCCTTGCCTTTGTGGTCCAGAACTCGTACATTGTATGCCAGCAATGTGGAGGACGTCTGCTCAAGAACGCGGCCAGAGAAGCTTGTGGCTCTGGCGGAGACAGTGTGCTGGAACGAAGCCTGGACGCAGCCCCAGGGCTGGCAAGGCCATGCCACTCAGCGAAGAGGACACATGGTGGCGTGCCAACGCTGCAAAGCCAGGGCTCTCCAACACGGTGGCAATTGGACGGCCAGCAGAGCGCTGAAGACGCGTTGTGGTGAAGCAGCAGACCACGACTTACGCTGCCGACATGTTTCAAGGCTATGAAGGATCCAACTGCACCAGAAAAGGAGCGAAGAAAAAGAGAAAACATGTAAATATATATATATACACACTATACACATATTATTCTATAGATATGTGTTTTGTTTTTGAGTGAGAACCCCTAAGCTATCGTTATCTGGGGAAATAACAAGACATTCTCCCACATGAAGCCAACCCGACAATGGGCACTGAATGACCAACTCTGTTACGTGTTTATACAACCTCTTGACACACCCCACACCTTTTTTGTGGCGTCTCATCCTCCCAGCTTTCCCATACTGAGTTGAGCACATGAACTTTTTGCATTCCCTGCGGAATGTCGAAATCCTTGGCAACAAGGCTAATTGCACCATTTTGAGGCTAACACATGCTAGTGCAGCGTGTGAGAGATGGGATAAGTTAGCCAAGTGTCTTGAAGGTAAGAGGTGCGTGCAATGGCTTTGCAAAAATCTGGTAGCTCCGGATCTGGACAAAGAAGTTGCGGTAAACTTAGAGTCTCTGCAGTCACGACTGTAAAATTGTAGGTTCCTGTAGAAATCCATCACTAATGACAGCGATTGAGGGCAACTTTTGCTGGCAAATGTACACTTTCGGTATGAGAGCTAGTGCAAGCCGAAGAAGGCCTTATGAAAAGCTCCGCAAACGTTCCTTTATGTACAAACAGGTTAAGGTGAGGAGTGAGGAGCACAAGTTTGTTTCGACGCTCAGGTTCGGCATTGAAAGCCGTACCGAGCAACGACATTGCAAATTGACTTGAAGTATGCAATTGTCTCATCTTGTGCTCCAAGGAACAATGCCGAAGCTGTGACCCCCCACTTGCGACTTGACTAGTTGCTACATTCGAAGCTTGGGGTTGAAGGACCTGCCTCCATGGGCTGCTGGGACAAAAATAATTGGTCAAAAGAATGCCAATTTAAGCAAGACGATCGATGTGCTCATGTGCAGGAGGCCAAATAGGAAAAAATATTTCAATATGTCATAGAGAGACATCAATCAGGTTGAAGTACATTGAAGTACACTTTCATTTGGCCTTGGCCTTAGCGCATCAGCACTCATCCTGGGCCCGGCTGGTTACAACCAGCCTACTGGCTACAACCAGCATCATGCCTGTTGATCGTACACCTCACAAATGAGAATGAGAGCATGCAGCACAACTTGCATGGGAAGCTCGATTATTCAGATGGAATCTAACATGGCTCCAAATGCAAGACATATCTGGCCCCTTTTGCAGGAGTGCGAAAAGGAGAGGTTGATAATTGCTGCAAGTGGCAGTCCAGTCACCATATGGCATATCGAAGGACAGCCCGACACCTTAGGCCATCTGGCTTTTTGTCTGCCGGTCATCACCAGAAAGGGATGGAAGAGGAAGAGGAGAGCTGCAAAGTGAGGCAGAGAGAGGGAGAGAGCGAAGAAAGAGGAAGGGAGTGAGAGCAAGACATAGGATGGAATGCATAAATTTGCAAGCCGCTAATAATTGATGCAGACTATGCCAAACAACAAAAAGACACAGCTAGGCGGGACCCAAGAACATCAGGAGCCTAGCTTAGCGCTTTGAGATTGCATTCATGCCCTACATCCCTTTAGATCATTCCTACATACCTTTAGAGTTTGGCTTCTTTAAGATGAAGTCAGGGCTGTGTCTTCAACAGATCGAAGATTTCAACCTTTCACCGGTGGCAAGGACCGAACCCTCCAGCTCAGGGCCCTGTCTTTCTTCGACACTGCATCCGGCTCAGGGTGCGGCAGGTCCTCCTCAGCTGGTCTCCACCAGTTCTTCTGCTTCTCCTCAAGGTTTAACTTTTCTTTTCAGTTTTGTAGTTTCTGGAAGTCAATTCAATACAACAGAAATGACATTACGTTCTCTTGAAATGTTGCAGCACATAGCATGCTCTTCTCCTCGAGAATCTCGCACGAAAGAACTGCTGGGAACCCATGGCCTTCGCTTCCACCTGAAAGTTCACAATCACAAAAACCACAGCAGGCTGTGATTATGGTAGTCTGAGCTGCGCACTCAACTTTGAGCACTTGGAAGGAAGCGAACAAATCGACCTCAGGTCGAGGCTGGTCAAAGCGCTTTCAGTGACCCACGCCTAGGCCTTGCTTGAAGGATCAAACGCCAAAACACCATTGCAGAAATCCATGCTCTGAGGAGAAGGCTCGGTGTCTGAGTCTGGACGCTCTGACTCTGCTCTGTCCTGGCTCACAGAATGTCGAAGCATTCGACTTTGACCTTCAGGACCGTCAGAACGCAGAACACAGGCGGCCTCCTTTGGTTTGACAGGTAGCCTTTCCCTTGGCCTCGAGAGAAAGCCAACCTCCCTAGAGAAAGATTGGCAGAAAGTCTCCGTGTCAATTTCCGTTCAGAGAATGTTCTACCTTGTTTATTTGGTGCTTCTGTTTGTTTCCAAGTTTTGGCCTTGGAGCTGGCGGAGGCTTTGACAACTGGCAACAGTTGAAAAAGAACAACCAGAGGTTGCGCATGCCACCATACGAGACATCAGACCTCTTGCAGCTTCGGCACAGCCTTCAAGTTCAGAGCCTAAGGTTGAGTACAGGAATGGAGAATGGATGACTTGACCCCAAGTCGCGGTGCAGCTTGCGTGTCCTTTCTAGCTGTGCTTCTCGGGATCACACTCCATCCAATTTGACCTTGTCTTCCAGGGTGCGCCTGAAGTCTCAAAGCTGACTGGTTTTTTGGAGAATGCACAAAAACTGCCGCATGTCTGCAATTCCTTGAGAAGCAAGACTACCCTCCTTTAGGAGCCAACTCTGGGCGCAGCAAGCTTCGGGTAAAATGCTCCATAAATCCAAAACCTACGAAGGTGCTCAAAATAATTGACAAGGCTCACAGTCCTTGCCGTTTAGCAGAGTTGAAGCAACGTTCCCTGTCAATTTGCATCCAAGGGGCCCTTGAATGCCTGTGGCCTCCTTTCACGCTCCCGTCGCTGCACCGGCTTTTGCCGAAGCTTTGCCTCGGGCCCTCTGGCGACTGAAGGCCGTCCCTAAAGGCACAAACAGAATGAACTTGAATTTGAAGCTATAGCCACTAGGAATAAATGGTAATAAGGTAATAAATGGCAATAAATGAATTTGATAATAAATGGTAACAAGGTGCCAATGAACGAAGAACAAAGGACTGTGAAATATGGACGGAGGACGGCCCTTGAAGTTCGCTGAGAGGAATCGGAGCTATCTACATTAAAGCGTGGGGACCTTGAGCCATAGGCCACAAACAAGGATTGTAGTCGTCAGTTCAAACACAACCGAGTCCAAGCAAAGAAGATCAAATGAAGAATCCGACTGGAAGCCTGCTGCAAGATCTGCGGCATGAAAATCTGACAGGACTGATCCACCTGTCCAAAACAAACCGGAGATAGAGAGATGGATTATGCGAAAAGGCTCTCACAATAATCGTTTCGGGGCCCAAACCCAGCCAGGTGCGCTGTTGGTGATAATGACCACTGTGCCCATCCTGAACTGTGTTCATGAGAACCGAACGAAACGACCCACTACATCATCTGCGAAGCTTTAAGCAGTAATTTTGTGTAGCTTCGAAGCAGCCAGCTGCAAGGTCTGGGCTGCTGCCTGAAGAATAAAGAACTGACGCAATATATAGTGAAGTTGTTATTTTTGTTCTAAGTCGGGCACGGAAGAAAGACTGGCAAGTTGCCTTTGAACCTCCGGCCTCAACGGCCCACCTGCGTTTACTGAACAGCTCTCCGCCTCAAACCTATGAAAGCAAACCCTACTTCCGAAGAAGAAAAACAAAGCAAAGCGACACAAAGTAACTAGGGAGTGGTTCTCTAGTACGCAAATCTGTCGCTCTCACCACCAGCAAGAGCATGAATGCGCTCGAGCCACAACCTGAGAAGACAGGCATCAAACCAATGGGTCAACATATCCAAGAATCAACTTCGCTGAGGTCAAATCGTTGGAAGTATGGTATCATCCCAATCAAAGACCAGGCAAGTCTCCTCAACGAGCAATCAAGTTGCGGTAATGGTACAAACATACGAAGCGCTAAACTCCGCAAGGCAGCTAGCAGCGATGCAAACCCCACTCTTAACTCTCCTGCTTTAATGCAGATGACGGTCGTGGGACGCTTGTTTCACTACTCTCGAGATCCTGAGAGCGGTGCTCACACATCTGGCGAGCTCAATGAATCAGCTGGAAACTGGAAACCGCTCATCAAACCCAATTCCCAACCTTTTCCCGGCTTGCATCGCTTCGTTCGCCACACACGGCATCCATCAGGAGTGGCACAGGCCGTGGCCCCCTCTTTGGATCCAAGACATGTTGCCACCATCGAAAATACAATTTGCAATTTGCGGTCAAAAAGTCAACGGCTCAACAAACCACAAATCCGTCACATGACATGAAAATGTCAAACACGTCTTCAAGAAAAACATCATGTGCTGGACAGCTGTTCGGGCAGCTCCCGGACCGCATCGACAGGGTTGGAAAAACAAATCACTTGGCTTTCGAAACGATTTGGATCACAGTTCAAAGGTTAGGTTGGAGGCCATCGTTATTAGGTTGCAGGCCATCGCTTGTAGCTTGGAGGCCATGGTTTCTAGGTGGAGTGAATTGATGTTTGGTACCCCAACTCTTTTTGAACCCAGCGTTACACGGCATCACACCGATAAGAACAATACATCCTCAAGTACGGCAAACACCCTGCTTTGTGTATACACGAAAATTTTGGTTGAGAGCGCGCGGTCGACCTGTGCCATTCCAGGCGCGTAGAGTGGTAACATGGTTCCGCTCAAACGTCAAACCTTGCAAGTCCAGCATTTATACGGCTAATGTTCCCCTTGCGTCCAGCAGCTAGGGAGGCCCACTTTGGCGGCGACCCCGGAATCCACTGCGTTTTTGGCGCTTGGTTTTGGGGCCGCCAATGAATGGGCAAGATTTTCGCATGCGTCGTGATCCGCTTGCTGCCGTTTCCCAATCTGCTTTCCAACCCCAAAAGTGGAACCCCACCCATTACATTGGAGCCACGCTTGCGATTTGCGATACCTGCCAGCTGCATGGCACACTAGCCCCTATCCAGAAAATAATTTGTCAGACCTCTGATTTCAAAATGTTCGTTCTGCGCACAACTTGACCGCTTTACATTGTTCCTGATCAGTCAGCTGAAAACTGGACCACGTCATCAAACCTGCAGGCGCAGGCTACAAGCGCACGCTTTGCCACTTGAAGCGGAGCAGCTATCATGACGGTTGGAGTCTACTTCAAAAAACACGTGGGTGAGCCTGTCCGGAGTCGGCGGAATTACAAACATGAGCAAATGTCCCTTGTCCTGCACATGGAGTCGGCACTGGCGTTTTGAAAAAGAAACTTTTTTGAAACGACAGAACCTGAACTCCATGAACCTTGAAGTGCAGATTTCGTGGCAGGTGCAGCACTTGGTGAACCTCGAAGTGCAGATTTCGTGGCAGGCACAGCACTCTGTGACCCTCGATGTGCAGATTCCGTGGCAGGTGCAGCGCTTGGTGAACCTCGAAGTACAGATTTCGTGGCAGGCGCAGCAGTTGGTGAACCTCGAAGTGCAGATTTCGTGGCAGGTGCAGCACTTGGTGAACCTCGAAGTGCAGATTTCGTGGCAGGTGCAGCACTTGGTGAACCTTGAAGTGCAGATTTTGAGCCCGGACGGATTCGGGCCGTCATGAGGCATGACTTTAAGAGGGGGAGGTGGACTCGAGAGGGTCCGGGGGGGACGCTAAACTCAAAGGGCGCGGCGCAGGGAGCTGTCTGGCCTCTGAATGAACACGGTACCTTCGCACCCCCTAGTCGGCGTGAGTTGACATGTTGGGTGGCCCCACATGTCACACCCTCGTTTGTGTTTGCGCACATCCTTGGGCGATCGTGCGGTCTCCGGTTCGCCGGACGCCGATCGGTACTCACATGGTACGGGATCGACGGGTCCCACCTCACCTGGTGTCTAGGTTGGCCACAACCTCTGATGACATCGCGGAACAGGCAAGGTCGGTGAACCTCTGAGGGATTCGTTCTCGGAGGGGTCACAGGGCAACCCGTTGGCTAACGGTCAATATTCATCGTGGGTAGCCAAGCTCATGGTGGACAAGACCGTCGGCTCCTCTCTAACTGTGTCAGGGTCCTGTCGCGAGACAGGTGTACCCCACTGGGGTGCATGGGATCGCTGACGACTGGGTCACCGACCGGTCCACTCTCTCCTTTGAGAGTGCACGAGTCGAGGCGCTATGTGTGCAGGTTATGCACAATTCACCTTAAGCTAGTAAAAGAAAGAGAAGTGAACCGGCCAGCAAACCGAAACCGAAGCAACCAAACAAAAAAAAACAAAACAAAGCAACCAAACAACAACAAAACACCCCACCAAAACGCTGGCTAGGTTCCTACCTCCGGATGGCTGAGTCAGCCGAAGAGCGGTGAAACAGGATGCGGTCTGGGGCAATGAATTCTTCCCTTGCGCTCAGTACGTCATCATCAGGTTCTTGTGCTTCGTTTACCATCGAAGTAGAATCACTGCCCTTTGACTGGCAAAATCATCTGCATTCATGATACGAAGGCAATCGAACTGCCCGCCTTGCTTCAAACGGGGGCAATGTTGCACAGTCGGAAGGCTGCTAGATCAATGTTGCACTGACATGGAAGGCAATCAAAGACAGCAACATTCCGCTATCATGCTCACAAGGTTCCAGAGAGGTATGGACCATACGAGACATTCCGACTCAGGGAAAACAGCTGGATCAGCAATCGAAAACTACAAATCGTCGAAAGGAAGAGCCAGCGGAGCTATGTAGTCGAAAGAGTGGAGGTGCGAGCAAGAGCGGGCCCAAATCCCCCCCCAGAGGGAGGGGGAGCAGTAGAGGTGCCCATCCACGATGCGACGGTGACTCCAAAAACAACAGCTTTGCCACAGGAAGTCACAGAAAGGCAGATTGTTTCCACAGCTCACCAAGAGCCGAGTTGGGCAGTCGACTGGCGCTATCATAATGGGGGTCGTCGGGCGCCTTGCAAGTGCGCCTCCTGTGTGCAATCATTTGCATTCATGAAACGTGCAGGCCCCTTGAACTACGTAAAACAAGGTGAAACACCGTTATCCTATGTTCTGTGCGCTGTACAGGCTGTACATTCTGTACTCATCCAGAGTGGGCTCAATGTACACTGGCCACAGTAAGGGTCTTCTGCGGAAGATTCGAGCTGTGCCCTGTGGGACCGGAGTCACTGAAAAGGTGACTAAGACTAACCACTTCTTTTTTGTGGGGGGCATCACGTGTGGGTTGCCTTGGTTTGGTGTGGTGAACATCTTGGGTGAAATGAATGGGTCCGTCTCAACGTCCACTTGGGTTGTAGTTCTCCGTTTGGAGAGCACGTTCCACGGGTTACTCTGTACTTCCTTGGTCGAAATGAACGGGTTTGGCCCCACGTCAAGCGGTACCATGCTGTCCTTGCCCTGCGCTAAAGCGAGGTCAGATACCATTCCCATCCCGTCCCCTTCAGGGATTCCACAAGGATGCTTTCACTCGTTGGGCATCCAAAGTGTTACTCTGGGGGCGATGTTGAGCAAACAAGACATAGAGCTTATGAAAAATGCAAACAGCTGCTGTGGTTGGCACCCTTCACATGCACAGCTTCTCGCACTGTCAGCCTGCCGCCCTGCTTTTTTTTCCCACGAGTACGGACGCCATGTGGGCGGTGCACCCAGGTCATCATAAGAAGGATGGAGACTCTGCTTATTGGTAGGGGAGAGCAACACAAACCAAAAAACCCAACCCAAAAACCACCCCAGAAGAACAAGCACCAAAAACCCCAACAACCAATGTAGCAGAGTTTCGCCTGTACTAAGGTGAGACGCGTGAAACAAAGAGTGACTGACTAACTAGGTGGGCCCGAATTCGCGCCAAAAGGAGTTTGCTGTATCAGGACTTTGGCTGTCGTCCTTGAAGGCCATTCAAAGGCGGCCTTCGTATGTGGACAAGGGGAAGAGTCACCCTTGCCAGATCCGGTTGCGGGCACATCAGCCTTGTTCAAGAACAATCAAGGCAGCATGCGCGTAAAGATTGCAGCACGAAGGTTAGTGATGATCGGAATAAGTCATCACGTTGCAATGCTTTGCAGGCCGCGGAAAACAGCATTTCAAAAGCGCAACCACTACAAATGGCTGCACGAGCAAAAGAGGCTGTGGCCAGGTATGGAGACAGACGTGATCGACATCGGCTACAGGCAACCAATTTACCTCCCTCCGGCTGGGGGAGGCATCTCACGCCCACCCTAAACGCTCCCGGGCAGCCAGCGGAGGAAACCTGGGGGGCGTGCGCTATCAAACTTGGATAGAGCAGTCATCTAGTCTATCCTCTGGCACGCATGGCCCTGGTGAAACAGGTGAAACCAAAGAAACATCCTAGTATGGTTCTTGTGCCATCTTTGTACAAGATTGGCTGAGTGCTGACTCCCACAGACAAGGAACTGAGGTTCTCACCTGGGCG